TCTATCTATCTATCTATCTATCTAATCTATCTATCTATCTATCTATCGATCGATCTAATCTCTCTCTCTCTCTCTCTATCATCTATCTGTCTGTCTGTCTATCTATCATCTATCTGCTATCATCGATCTATCTATCTATTGTCTATCTATCATCTATCTATCATCTATCTGCTATCATCTGTCTGTCTGTCTATCATCTATCTATCTATTTCTCTCTCTCCCTCCCTCCCTCCCTCCCTCCCTCTCACACACACACAACCAGGGTCTGGGCAGGCCACTTGAACCCTTCACACCTGCCGATTCTAACCTTGGTTCTCCCAGGAAGAGGGCAGGGAAGTGAAAGTAGGACTTGGGTGCCACTGGGCCACCGAGACCGGATCCTCCCTTGGCGGAGACCGAATTGCAAATCAGAAAGCCACCGAGAGCCCCCACCCCAAACAACTGCATTGCCCCAATTCCTCTCCCTGCCTCCCCCCAAGAGCGGAGAGGGAATGGTCGATGTGGGAAACTTGCAGAGGAATTGCTCCAACACAGGGCTTAATCGATGCGTATCTGTTAATTGATTAAAAACGCGAGGTAGGAACAGTCACACGCGGGACTAGACTTAACAAATACGCAGACAGGAAAACACATGCAGATGTATGGATGTTTCTATCCGCATCTCTTAGGCGTGTGGATTGAGGCCAAATGTTTGTTTCAAAACAACAGCCTGGCATGCATCATCCCAAAGGCGCATCCTTCCTTCCTTCCTTCCTTCCTTCCTTCCTTCCACTTCCCACCGGAGAGAGTACCTCTTCCCAGAGATGCTCCCTTTAAACCTGGAAGCTACAGGAGCAAAGGAAAGGTAGCTATTTGTGCCCAACTGCAACGCGCTAATTAATTTATCAAGCACTTCTTGTGAAGAGGGATGGGTTGGGAACGGAGAGGCTCCCTGGCTGGCACCCCAAAGAGCAGCTTTTCACACCCCGCCAGGGTGGCTGAGATGCGCCCGGCACCGAGAAATGCACAATTGCCACGGCTGTCCAGGAACGGAGGGCCCACCCTCTGGACGTGAAGTCAGCAAGACCGGGCATCTATAAAACTCCTGTGGTTCTCCAACCGGCCCTGATTTAAACTCATTTCCTTCCTGCTGGTCTTTCTTGCTGCAGGGGCTTGGCGGGGCTGGCCAGCTCCCTCCGCTGGTTCCCTGTAGAGCAGCTAGGTTGTTGTTGGTGGGCAGGGACCACCCTGTAGCTCAGCAGGAAAGGCCAGGCTGGCACTAAAGCAGCCCAAGAGGCAGAAGGGACGGTGCCCGGCAAGACAAGGTTCCCCTCCCCCCGCTTCTTCTCTGATGTGGATGAGTGAAAAGCCCCCCCTCCCTCTCCCGCCAGCCCCAGTCTCCTCACCCGGAGAGATGTCCAACTCCACTGCATCGCCTCTCGGGGTGCCCGGCTGCCAGACATCTGCCCCACGGGAGACGGGCAGCTCCTTCTGCCCCAACACACAGGTCAAGCAGGCCCCCCGTGCCTTCCCACCGCACCCCCTCCTCGTGACCCCCTTCTCGCCTCTCCCGGCACTGCCTGGGCGGCAGAGGCGCTGGCAATGGCAGCCCGGTGGCGCTGGCGCTGATTGGCCGCCCTGTAGCTGGGGAAAGGAGCGACATCTGCTGTTAATGTCAACATTCACACACTGGAAAGCCAGCCACCCCACCTCCCCGGGCTGGCCAGGAGGCACTCTTCACGGGCCCCTCCATGCGGGGTGTGTGTGTGTGTGTGAGAGAGAGAGAGAGAGAGACAGAGAGAGAGAACAGGGAGACAGGAGGCTTCAAACCATGCAGGAGGCAGAGGGCAGGATACCTGCAGGGAGTGGGCAAAGAGACGGAAAGGGGGAGAGAGAGAGAGAGAGAGAGAGAGAGAGGGAGGGAGGGAGAGAGAGAGAGGGGCAGGCAGGCAGGCAGGCAGATAGATGATGGATGGATGGATGGATGGCGAGATAGATAGATAGGTAGGTAGGTAAATACAGAGACAGAGATAGAAATATAGATACAGATACATACATACAGAAACCCGAACAACCAAAGATCCAGATACATAGATATATATATAGATATAGATATATAGCTACAGATACAGATACAGATAAATATAGATATATAGATAAATGAGATAGACTGGATGAATGAATGAATGAATGAATGTACTGACTGAGGAAGGGAGGAAGGTGGGAAGGAAGGTGTGGGTGTCCACCTGTCTGCAGGGCTGGCCCCCCAACCAGTTCAGCAAGTCAGGGGCACCTATTGGTGGCAGGAAAACGGCCCCTTGGCAGACCCAGGAGGGAAGCTGCAGCCAAGGCCGGGTGAGCGGGAGGCAGCCACCCAAGTCCAGGAGAAGAGGAGGCTTCCTACATACAGCAGCACCTGAGCCTCTCCGGGACCGAGTGAGGATGGCGCCATAAAGGCAGGAGACGGAATCCTCTCCACGGAGGACATTGCCCGCTGCTGCTCAATGTTTTCTCCCTAGGAAGCGCCAGGAGGGACCTTTCCCACCTGGGGCCCTCCAGCTGCTTGCAAAGGAGGGAGCCAGGGGTGGGATTCAAATTTTTAACAACCGGTTCTGTAGGTGTGGCTTAAGTGGCTTGGTGGTCCTGTGACTGGGTGGGCGTGGCTTGGGGGTCATGTTATTGGCTGGGTGTGGCCAACTCAATATCATCACATCGAGGCACGCATCTCCTTGCCTGGCCTCTCATGACTGTGGGGATGCTGCAACAGTCAGAAGTGTGAAAAATGGTCATAAGTCACTTTTTTTCAGTGCTACTGTAACTTTGAATGGTCACTCCACACAAGTAAAGTACCAGCAAAGGAGGGGGAAAAAAACTCCGGAGACGTTCCTGAGACAGGAAGTCTTGTGCTGCCAAGAATGTAATAAGGGCTAACGGAGAGGCAGTTTTTGTAAGCAACCCCAGAATGTTTCCTTCCTGCCTTCCGTACAGGATTAGCCCAGTAATTTCTTCTAACAACCGGTTCTCCGAACTGCTTAGAATGTTAACAACCGGTTCCAGCAAATTGGTGCAAACTGGTAGAATCCCACCCCTGGAGGGAACTGTGGGGCATCCCGGCTTCCCTGGCACACGGCCCTCTTAAAGCCCTGGGCCATTTTTCTCCGGCAGAGGGGGAGGGGGAAGCGGGGAGAAAGTAAGAGGGGAGACCCAATAGAAGTTCACCAAATATGCACAGCAACGTAGGGGGAAGGAGGGAGGCCGTTCGCCCCACCATGGTAACAGGGGTGAGCGTCATCCAATGCAGTGAGTGTGCAGGAGGTCTCCTCCAAAAGAGAATTAGCTTGTGGAACTCCTTGCCACAAGACAACGGACGAGGACCCCCCCCCCCAATGCTTCAGTCGAGGGCAACATTTTTCAAGGCTCTCGGATGTTGAGAAGGGAGAAAAATGGCCACCTGGGCGGGGAAGCCCAGCAAGAACGGGTTCGCAGCCTCCGTTCCCACAACCTCAGCTTTCCCAAGGAGGAGGGAATTCTTTAAAACGGATTTAACAGCTGAAGAGCGCCACTGACCACTCGGTTCCAGCTCACTGTTTATTTCCCAGGCAGAGCAAAAATCTTGGCTGGCGTTCAGCCTGGCTAGCTGGGAACGTGGCTGGGTGCCCATGCGATGTGTGTGTGTGTGTGTTCACAGGAGCTTCAAGCTATCACAAAACTGGGAAAAGACGCAGAAAAATCTGATGAGATTCGGGTGCTCCAGTCCCCACCCACTCGTCCTTGACCCCTCTCGCTCTGCTGCTTTTAACTGGAAGATCTGGGTCTCCTCCTCCCTTTTTAAAGCCAGGACCACCGAAATATCTATATTTGCCTCTCGGTTTTGGAGCTGGTTGAGAGAACCAGTCCACCCTTTGAGGATATTTCCAGTTCTCTAAATCCCCATATTGGTGTTTTAAAGGAGAGGAAGGAAGGACGGAAGGAAGGAAGGAAGGGAGGGAGGGAGGGAGGGAAGAGTGTGCATGTG